ATTTTATCAGTCTTCAACACATGAAGGACTAACAAAGTTTGACCTGCGCCGGATCCTACGCATATAATGAACGTAACAAAACAGTCCAGTGAAGGTTGCATTTTGAGTAGGCTACTTCATGTTCGAAAATAAAAGTTTATATAGGAAGTCTGCTTTGTTCCAAAATCATTAAACTTGTTTTATTATGTAATCACCGTCAGCAACTCTGTACTCTTTTAGATCTCATGTTTTCAATAGGGTCAATGTTCCAAAAAATCTGCGGCATCAACCAAATCTTTTCCGATCTCAAATGCAAGAACTAACTTTTATTGACGTAATTCATCCAAACAATAAAGAGACTTTAACAGAGCAACAACTAAATACCATTCCACAGCAGTACGCATATTCAACAAATGAAATGAAACAGATGTAAGGAAAAACGCAAGTTATGCTGAAGCACTAAAGTTCTACAAGGACTGAGTGTTCATCAACAGCTCCATAATTAAACTTATAAGCATTTTGAAAGGAGAGCTGATAGGCTTGGAGGGAAATAATACCAGAACACCTCAAGAGGTGAGGGCTTCGGAAATCGACAGACGAGACCATTATTGGACAAGAATAAGATTGCACAAATCACCGTGCTACACCGTCTTCTCTTCGTTTTCTTCCCCTACTTCTTCAGTGAGAACAATTTCAGCGGGGATGGGCTCATCTGAATCATCAACTCCATCTGCAGGATGTTCAGCCTAGAAAGGAAGAATTGCAGCAAGTATAGAAAAGGCAACATTATTTCGAAACCTTGACTTCCTCTTCAACGCGTTTCACGGGAGGCGGAGGTGGGCACGCTCGCTCTACTGCTGAGGTTATTCGATCTGCGTATCGTTTGCAGTCCGAAAGAGCAGACTTGAGGGATATGTTCGAGTCCAATGATGACTGAAATTCAACCTTTTCCCACCAGACGACCACGACAATGTGTGTTTCAAACTTAACTTCAACACATCTTTTATCCTTAGAGAGCTACTTGCTCACTAGTTTTGTTTTCTTATGGAATTTCTATTACGTAATTCTCACCTTCAACGCACTGCTACTCTCATCAAGCCGCTTTTTGTACTTATCCACTTCCTTCTCCAAATCTCTATTCTTTTTCTCAAGATCATGCTTACTCCCACGCAGTTGCTCTGAAAAGAGTGCATTGAGAATGAACTCATGTCAGACAATACTGCAAACTAAAACTACTTACCGATAAGCGCTGTCTGTTCGGCAACTGTAGTTTTAGCTTGATCACGTTCTCCTTCACTTTTCTTCAGCAAAGCCAATTTTTGAGCTATGTTTACGACGTTGCCGTTGATTACGACAGTTCCATCAGGTGAAGATGATATCTGCCGAGAGATTCATGATAAAAAATGGAAATCGAAATCAGCCGATAAAAGAGAAAGAACTTACATTTGCATCACCATTGACTTGAGGTTGCAACGAATTTTTGTAAGCTTGCAGACCAAAACCTAGAAGAAAGATGGACCATCAGCTGATCCAGGAACAAAAGTCACCCAACCTTTCAGTAAAGCGTTCACATCGGGCGGGTTCTCACATTCACCAGGCGTAAACCTCACATTACCATCAGAGTCCACCAGCACATCAGTGAGATGTCTACAAGATATTATATTTGCTTTCCTAACGCCAAATAAAATCTAGAAGTAACCTGTAGTTAATTTTTTCTCTTGACATCAGTTTATGGGTCAGTTTCTGCATCAGTGCTCTCGTAACACCCAACTCACTGTTGAAGATGATATCCTCCAGATCACGTTCATTCAAGTAGCTAAAAGAAAATATTTTGGCTGCTTCCAAATTTACAC